CTATATAATCTCAATTGTCTCAGTAACATATACACATAGGTTACTCATGCATAAATTTGTATATAATATATGGTTTAATATTATTTATAGTTGTTGTTGTGATTAATCGATTTTAAAAACATATTTGCTAAACATTTTGATTTCTATCATTGTAATTATTTAAAACATCAAACATTGTTTTGTTTTTAAAGGTAACAATATAATTTTTTATATAATGTTATTTTTAAATTTGTTGTTGCAAGTTATCTTTAAGTTATTTATTTTAAAACTCTTAATAATTATAATAATATTTTTAGTTAATTTGGGATTAGAGTTTAGATTTTGCATTTAACACGACAATTTATAACTTTTGGCTATTTACAACATATTCTTTGGATTTTTTAAGTTTAATTGAAATTTCGATTTAAGTTAACCTTTAACGTTATATTTAAATAAACAATTTAAGCATTTTATAAAAAATTATTAAAATTTGTGACTTTAAAACGACAATGATTTACATACAAAAACATATTCAAACTAATAAGTTAAGTATAATATGTTAAAAGTTAAAGACATAAATTTATAAGTAGAAGTAAAAGATGATATTTTAATACTAAAGATTAGTTCATTTATGATTACAATTTAAGTTTTTCACTTATTTAACAATATTAACTAATTTCTAACCATTATTAGAACGAAATTAAAAAGTCTACTAGATTTCTGACTTAGCATGGGCCTAAACTTAGTGGGTATAAAGCTCATATCAGCATCTGAATCGAATAATACATTTGCATATAAAGTGTTAACAATGAACATACCAATCACTACTGACGGATCCTGAAGTGTGTTCCTTGTGCCTATTGCAAATTCACAACAATGAGTATTTCGATTCTTGAGTTTCGGGCAATCCATTTTGAAGTGACATTGTTTACCACATTCAAAACAACCTCAACTTCCATTGATACTTGCTCCAGTGTTTTACTGTAGGTGTTGTGTTTCGGTAGTACCCGTCCGTATGGCCTCTCTTGTTGCAATGGTGATATACGGATTCTCTACATATACCTAGATGGTGGTAGTTTCATTCGTCACACTTGGGGCTATTTCCCATGTACTACTTCTGTGGGGTGGTTGTTGTAGCATAAACCCTTTCATCGTCTTGTTTCTTCCACAAGGATTGTCTTGAGTTTCCTCTGGAATCGCTATCAAACTTCCTTTTGTTATCCCCGCCCTTTGCAATATCAACCTTTTGAACCAAGTTTTCTTGACAGACTGATTGATTCATTAAGTTGTATGCCAATCTCTTGGCATTATCGTATGTATCAGGTCTGGAAGTAGTAACCATCCCTTGAATTTGGAGGGTAAGTACCCATATGTATCTTTCGATCTTCTTGTCCGAAATTATAAAACTCGGATACAGAGTTATGAGATTGTTGAATCGGGAGGTGTAGGTTTCAATTTATGCTCCCTTCATGGTTAAGTTCCATAACTCATGTTCTAGTTTTTGCATTTTCTTTCTAGGGCAGTATTCTACCACATGGATCATCTTCAGTTCTTCCTAAGATATTGCGTAGGCTGAGTTGATGCCCATGGTCTTGGCATGGTCGTTCCACCGGGTAAGGGATGTGTCCATAAATGTGCATGTGGCAAATTTAACCAGACATCCCTCAACACTAAAGCTGATATGGAATATTGATTCCATCTTTTCAATCCACCAGGTCAAACCGACCACTCCTTCATTATCGTAGAAGGACATAGGCTTGCAGTTCATGAAGTCTTTGTAGGTGCATGCCCTTAGACCGCCTCTATTGTCATTATGGATGATGCTTCCACCTCTACCCCCACCTTGCCCAAATGTGGTGTTTCTATTGGCTTTATAATGGCTAAGGCGTCGACAACTCATTGTGCAATCATTACCTCGATTAATGTGGAGTCTAGAGGTGGCGTTGGTATTGGTATTGGTTTTGGTGTTGGTGTTGGTGTTAGGCGATCTCGAGTACTTCTTAGAGGCATGACTTTCGTCCTAATATAATTGTTTTAAAGAGAATATAAGTCATATGCAAAAATTTTGTTATTCTACGTATGTATAAGTATTCCACCGAGTCTTAAGTAGTGAATTATAACCAAATAATATGCGTTCTAAACTATAGAGCTATTCTTTAAATCTTTAGAACTCTCAAGAGTTTAGTTTATCAACGCTCTTTATATCCATGGTTTCGTAATTACATGTACTCTTTGTTTAGCGTATCATTTATACTTAATAATATTTAATACATCTATCTACTCAAATCATATGTATCCAAGCATCACATATGTATAATGGCAAATATTTGTTTATCGACGATCTACACATATCGAAGATTTGTGTGATATCCCAGATGCATTTCAAAGTGTATAACTTTATTTGCATCGTAATGAATTGAATAGATTACATTAGGTCTAACACATATGTATTTAAATGTAATTATGCTTGATCATAAAAACGATAATTGACCTAATTTTGGGAATTGTGACACCAATTTATATGTTTGTTGGGCGAGGCCCGTCATGGTATGTGGTATCTTGGACAACTCACTAAGCTTTGTGCTTACAATTTAAGTTTAAATGTTTCAGGTACTTTTGGTAGCAAAGGGAAGAGCCCGACCTGATTGCATCGCATCCACCAGAGATTCCAGACTCTATGCTTTTATGTCGTACTCTGTTGTTTGTTGAGACCACATTTTATATACTCTGATTATCATTTGATGGGATGGAAATGAATGGTGTTATCTTAATATAAAATGAAAACTTTACTCTGTATTTTGGGACGTTACAACTTATGATAGTTTCGAGGATAATAGAGTATTTTTATTTTGAAGATAAGGAAGTAAATATCTGAATGAGAAACACATGGACATGGGGCACGATGTAGATCTGACCTTAGTGTGTAAGAGGGATTCAGATCCTTTGTTGGATCCCTAATGAGGGTTAGTTTGGATACAAGTCGAGAAGGATGTCTCGACCTTAAACTATTATAAAAGTCGAAAAGTTAAGAGTTTTAAATCAATATGACGAAAATAAAAATGCCTCAGTTATAATATACTTATAAATAGATAATAGATACCAGAAAGAAAATAAGGCTAATCTCATATTACCACTTTCCAAGATTTAATAAAAGATTAGCCAAGCCTCCAAAATAGACATGACTTTCGTAGATAACATTTGTAAAAATTGTCATATATCTACAAAATATTCAAAACGCTATCGTTTTGAAGATTTTCCCGGATGACCCGACCATTTTCATGGATGCCATCTGCAACAATGTTGGGGTCCCGAAACTAGATTTGAAAAAAATCTTAAAAAATTAATAAAATAAATTTTCGCAGATACTATCTACGAAAATCCAAGTTTTATTTACGAAAATTAAAAGAAAGAAAACATCTTTTTATTTTTTGTGTTAAAAGTTATCAAAAACAATTTCCACATCAAAAGGAAATTTAATATTATAATTTTGATCCGCAAAAATAACAATTTTTCATAGTTTTCAGAAAAACTCTCGAAGGAGCAGATGTTTTGTAGATCTCCGTTTGAAACATCTTCTAAAAATGGTAGAGAAATTTTTTCTATTATTATTATTATTATTATTTTTGCAATTCGAAACTATAATATCAAATTTTCTTTTGCGGTGAAAATGGGTTTTGAAGATTTCTAACACAAATAAAAACTTAGCAAAATATTTTTTTTAGTCTGAGGAAATCTATTTTTTTTTCAAAAGACGTCAAGATAAAGAATTTTTTTTTAATATATATATTTTTTCAGATGACATATAAGAAAATCCATTTTTCACCGATGGGTAGCATGGATATTTCAAATAAAACGAAAACAGCTATAAAGAAGAAAATTTATATAGACGTAGCGGGTAAACGAGCAACAAACTGTGCCGCAACTCATTTTTGGATGACAAAACTAATTCTTTTAAAAAACAACATCTATAGATCTTGGAGTCATAACATTATTATGCATGATCCGTTAGACTTTATTGAGTAGCTCAACAGCTTCTGGCGCAAGGAAACCGAAAGTAAATGCAAAAGGTATAAACGTGTGTTGATTTTCCATACACGTTTTCTCATGTTTTGCCACTTTGCTTGATGCAGCTTTTAAAACTTGCCCCACAGTGAAAACCCCACTCCCAAGCCTACAAGAAGGGAAACCCCAGTTAGATCTACGCATGCATATTTCAAATGATATCTTCAATTCCACCACTTATATGAAAATATTTTCAATTTCTCCACCCCCCCCCCCCCCCCCCCCCCCGTAAAACGATTTACGCATGTCACGTATGATTTTTGTAAATAATAGAGATTTTTCCAAATGTTATCTACAAAAATCATAACTATTTTGGTCAAATTGTTATTTGTTAATTTTTTATTAAATATTAAAATAAATAAATGAGATAAATCTGCTTTATATTTTTCTCTATATAAAATCTTTATATAAAATATAATTAACTTGATATTAAAATGTTTGAACAAGGTAATTAATCTCTAATTTGTCTTTTTATAAGAAAAAAAGGCTTACGAAACAAAATCAAAATCGCTAGTTCAAGTAACGGTTATTGGTGTCAAAAACAAAAAAAAAAATTTGGAAATTCTGAAAAAAAAAGTATTCTTTTTTAATAATTTAGAATAAAATATGATTTTATAAGTGGAGGGTGTAACTTTTTGATAATTAAAGGAAAATCAGTCAAATTACTTTCAAGGTATCATAGACATAGAGTGTGGTTTTGAAATCGAGGTTGTTTTAGAGTTGACTCATATTCTTTTAGGAGGTTCCTCGGACAACAGGTGACCCAAATCAGGAACCAATTACTTTTGTGAGCCTTACAAAAGCACAATCACCCCCATTAAAGACCATAAAAATGGAGCTAAGAATGATGAAAATACAGCTGTACTGTAATAGCTTCCACAATTCTTCTCTCTCTGTCTGACTTGGTGTGTTTCTTCACATTAATTATACATACAACCAAATATAAAAACAATAAAAGCCATAAATTTAGAAATAGAAAGTCAAAATAAGGGGCATAGTCTCAGCAGCCTAAAGCCCTTTTGCAGCCATTCTTAAGGATCAAAAGAGCAAAAACCAAAGAACTCTTCGCTTTAGCGGTTACAAAGTCCTTTAAAAAACCTACACCGCTTACATCTTATGTATCTATCTTGCCAGACTCAAATTCAGTTTGTGTTTACTTTTCTTGTGATGTTTGAGAAGATTAGAGATCGGTGAGTTCAAATTCAAGATACCCATTTGTTAAATTTTTAAGAAATGTTTTAAAGATTGTGTTTTTGTTGATGGGGTTAGTGGGTTTGTTGATATGGATGATGATCAATATTTTGCCTATTATTTTAATAAAACTATTTACTACTTTTGACTATTTTTCAGGTTGTGAAATTCAAGGTTTAGGAGGCCGAATTACTAAATGGGTAATTTATGCAGCAATTCCGGTTCCAAGGTGACGATTGTTCATCCCTCTTTCTATATGTTTTCAATTTCATGTTTTTCAAGTTCGTTCTTGAATTTGATTTATGAATTTGTTTGAATATAAGCATGGTCAAGTAAATTGACCGATGGAATTGCTTTTTTATGATCGCTGTAATTAGGGGTTTGCTTTCTACTGAACATCCAATTAGGGTTTCATCTAATTAGAGTTATTTTTACAGTTTTTTGTATTAAATCTATCTTTTTTTTATATGATAAAGCAAAAAAGTCTTCAATTTTGACCAACTTATGAGATTGCTAGATTATGAAATCCTACAAGCTTCTTTTCAAGTTTGAACTATATCCAAATTCGTTGCCAATTCAATGGTTTTCATTGCTGACAATAGAGCCGCAATTCGTGCAAATCTAGATTTTTATAGTTAATGAGATCACGAATTTTGTCGTTTTACAGGTGTGGTCAAACTTAACTTCTTTTCAAAACCGAATTATGTGATTTAATCCGGTTTTGTGATTCATTTAGAACATAAACTTGATCTTTATCCTGTGTCAAAACTTATTTAACAAGTGTATTCATCATGCTTGCCATCAATTTCAAGCTTAATGCAACTTTTGTTTTTTTGACCAAATAGTAGTTGAAAGTCAACGGTTGACTTGGAAAAAATTAAAACTTTTGCCCCGAATTTGGTAACTATTATTTGCGATTCGAAACATACTGAATTTCCTATTTAACAAGACCATGATTAATGCCATTTTATCATCATGGTCAAAGTTAACCTTTTTCTTGATGTGCAATTTGAAGTTGGAGTTGTAAATTGTAATGTAATCTTCATTTTGTGTTCATAATTGGTGAATGGTTTTAGTATCCATATTGTAAGCTCAATGGTCGACTATTTCATATTGACTTGCTTGTTTTAACAATATGGGAACCCTACTTTCTTCCAAGATTGACCTAGATAGAATTTGATATAAAAGGGTATATACGTAATTTAACGGAACTTTTTTGTTGTTGTCAACTTTAGCTTGCAAATGGGCAATCATCAAATGGTGCGGGAAAGGGACGAGGTGATCAAGGGTCAATTAGATATGGGTACACTCTAGTTAAAGGGAAGGCTAATCATCCAATGGAAGATTTCCATGTTGCCAAATTTGTCCCTTATCAAGGGCGTGAACTTGGACTTTTTGCTATTTACGACGGGCATCTTGGGGATAGTGTCCCCTCGTATCTTCAAAAGCATTTATTCTCCAATATCTTGAAGGAGGTGAGGCGTTACGATTGTCCTTTGACTCAAAAGTTGACTTTAAAGTCAACAACTTGGATGAAAATGCTTCCCTTTATCTAAAACATGATCACTTTATAAACAAAGTACTCTAAAAGTTTTGTATCCGGAAAGTTAATAACAAAATAAGGGCAATTTTATAAAAGGATAGGACTTGATGGGAAAACCTCGTTTTCCTGACTTTCTGTATTGAGTCGTTCTTTCTGCATTGTGTCAAAAAGGAACACTCATAAATAGTTTATTGGATTAAAGTCTTGTCCCCATTAATTCTTTGTCTTTTTTATGGGGAACCTAGAAATGGATAAAGATTGACTATGACGAATGTGTAGTACATACGTATGTTGATTCCTTTTTTGTTTGTATGCGTCATATTCTTGTGTAATCTACATACGTAATCTCTTTGGTTATATTATAAGTTCAATTTCTCAGAATTGGGAGGGAACAAAAAAAAATAAAGAATTAAGAGTCTACATACGTCCCCATTTCGGCTAAATATTATACGTTCATATTTTCAGCACCAATCACCTTTGCATTTCATAAAGCATACTTTTTCACACGTCACAATTATTTCAAGAAATTTTGTGCGTCATAAACTTATAATGTTTAAAATTTGTTTATCCACTGCTAAAATTACCTATTTTCCTATCCTAAATCGTTATAAAGTACTTATGGTATTTTAGACATTTAAGTCCTGGCTGGCAGGCATTCGACTGATGAGACAAATCACTAATGTCAATGGGACATGAACTTGGTATCGATCTCTCGTTTGTGCAAAAGACTTGAATACCCCTCTCATTCTCATCATTTAAAGTTTGTCCAGTCCATCCAACTTATTTTTGAAAACTGATTTGACTGTATATGATGATGTTTTATGTTATTGCAGGGTGAGTTTTGGACTGATCCAAACAGGTCAATTTCAAAAGCCTATGAAAGAACTGACCAAGCCATTCTTTCCCACAATCCTGACCTTGGAAGAGGTGGGTCCACTGCAGTCACTGCAATTCTCATCAATGGTCGTAAGTTATGGGTAGCAAATGTCGGTGATTCTCGGGCAGTTCTTTCCAACAAAGGGCAGGCAATTCAAATGAGCATTGATCATGAGCCCAATACTGAGAGGGGCAGTATTGAAAATAGAGGAGGTTTCGTCTCAAACATGCCAGGTGATAGATACTTACTTCTACACCTTTTCTAAATTCTAATCATCCCTATTTCTATTTCTCACTCAACAAACTATGAATGGCCTCGTCATTAAACGCTATTTACTATTTAAGACATTTCAATGTATAAGGAAATGTGATTTTCTTTTGAGGAGATACAATACAGTAAATGATGAAGATTTTGTTATCAGGAGATGTAGCAAGAGTGAATGGACAGCTGGCGGTTTCTCGTGCTTTTGGAGACAAGAATCTCAAAAATCATTTGCGCTCTGATCCCGACATAACAAATGCAGATATTGATGCAGATAACGAGATTCTCATTCTTGCAAGTGATGGTCTATGGAAGGTAAAAACAAAAGTATAACTTTCTTTATGTATTATTTAAGTAAAAAAGAAACACACTGACTTTTGTTTGATTGGTGTTGATCAAGGTTATGAGCAACCAAGAGGCAGTGGATGTAGCGATAAAGATCCGGGACCCACAAAAGGCAGCAAAGCAACTAGCTGTTGAAGCACTGAATCGAGAAAGTAAAGATGATATATCCTGCATTGTTGTTCGGTTTAAGTGATGAAAGAAACTCTATATAAAGAATCTGCATGGATTTAGGAATGAGTATGTGCAGTATAAGATAAGAAGATGTAAATTATTGAGGGTTTATGGTTTGCAGGATTTGCAAAGGAAAAATTTACATAGTTCATTGCCATCGTAAGTAGGTTTTTTTTTTTTTTTTTTTTTATTTTTTTCTTAAAATGTTTATGGATATGGAAGTGTTGTTGCTAGTGATTGTGGGCTTGTTGATTTTTCGTTTCTTGAATGTGTAGATTTATATATTTCCTTTTGTTTTTTGGTAAGTTTTGATGGCAAAATCTGGAGGAATAATCGTTGTTGGTCGGCCGTTGTGTTTCTTGTCATCCGGGTAAATAGGGATATCGGACTTATCGAGGGTGTGTGAATAGACGAATTGTATAAGTTTTATCCCTTTCTTGTGCATAAGTTTTAAAGTCTTTATTCTTCAACTTTTGACCTTAAATATTTTTGTCCTTGATATATAATACTTGATGCAAAATATATGAATGAATTGTGTTTTAAATGTCTTTTGACTGTTATAAGTTTCATCAAGTAATACATAACACAAATAAAAATATTTAAAGTCAAAGATGATGAACAAAGACTTCAAAAGTCAAAAGTGGACAATAATTATGAGACGGAGAGAGTATATTTTTACTTCGCAGGGATCACAATTTAAATTATTTTTTTTACTATTTGTTTATTATCTAAAAGCGTATCAAACCTAAACCTAATGACTTTTTTGGTCACTAGACATTAATATTGATATATTTCAAAAAAATAAAATAAAATATTACTGTATTTTACATATTTCAAAAATCGTGATCATTCTCAAAGTAGGAATATTTTCTATTTTTGATATCTATACAAGATGTTGGTGATTTTAGTGTCACCATGTCATTTTAAGTAACTGGAACTAACATGTGAGCTAAGGGGGCTTCATCATTTGTACTCTAATATATGTATGGGGTTGTACGGAGTGCACGCATGTATAAGATCGAGTCAGAAGCCGGTTCGACGACTAGTCGGGGGTCCGGGGGCAGCGCCCCCGGGTCCGGGGTTTCCAAAGGGGCAGCGCCCCTTTGACGGGGTCCAAGGGGCAGAGCCCCTAGCTGGGGTACGCTCCTTTCCAGAAGTGGGGTACTTGGTAACCCTAATCCGGATTAATATTACTTGCTTCGAAAGCAACTAATGACGGCCCAACCCTAATGAAACCCTAATCGTGTTTAATATATAAACAACTCTTCCTTTCCAGAAGTGGGGTACGTTCTTTAGCTCTCGTTTTTCATCACACATTCACAGAACCCTTTAGCATATTGGCTTACGTTTTCTGTGCCTAGAAACGTAAGTGTCCACTTGGATTATCCTAGGCTGAATTTCTTGTAACCCAGGCATATGGTAGAAATATCAGTTCGGAAAGTGATATCACGGTCCAAGTTGGTATCCAGATCTCCACCACAAACCCTAAATTTCCCAACAATCGAACTGATATTCTCTGTTTCTGGAGATGGGTGATTCAATCCGCGAGATGACCACTAAGTTTGCCAAGTTGGAGAAGTTTGAAGGCGTCGATTTCAGGCGTTGGAAGAAAAAGATGCACTTCATGCTGACCACTCTGAAAGCAGCATACGTGCTGACTACTCCAAGACCAGCAGAGCCTGAGGAAGGTGTTGTTGAGACGGCTGAAGAGACAAGAATGAGACAGAAGTGGGACAATGATAACTACATCTGCAAAGGTCACATTCTGAACGGTATGTCTGATGCTTTATTTGATATCCATAGTGAAGCCTTGTGTGCCAAGGAGTTGTGGGATACCCTTGAACTGAAATACATTACTGAGGATGCTTCTAGCAAGAAGTTTCTGGTTAGTGACTTTAATAATTATAAGATGAAAGATTCAAGGTCTGTCACTGAACAGTACAATGAACTCCTTGGCATATACGGACAGTTTAAACTGCACAAAATGAATATGGATGAATCCATAGCTGTGTCCACTATCATTGACAAACTGCCTCCGTCCTGGAAAGACTTCAAACATAACTTGAAACATCAAAAGGAGGAACTGTCATTGGTTCAACTTGCTAGTGTAATGCCCGTGTTTCTAGGCTAGGCATTAATATTGACATTATAGTCTAGGTTAACCTTTGTAACTCATTTTGAAGAAATGAAAAAGGAATTATGTGAATATTATGTGAATTATGTGTTTTATGCTTAATTATTAGGGTTTAATTAATTAAGAATAAAAATGAGCGTCAAAAATTAAATTTTAGATAAAGTCGATATCTATTAAGAAACTTGTAGTGGGCGTGACAAGGATTACGGATATATAAAGAATGCCGAAATCCGAGTTATAACGAAGAAGTTATGACCTGTCGAAGTTTCACGACAAAACCGGCTCGGTGCTGAATGTCGTAATAAGTGAGTTTTTGATAAACAACTTTTTAGCCTTAGTGATCTAAACGAAACTTGTAGTGTTCATTAAACCGAGAGTAGGTATAAAAAGAACGCCCAAATCTGACTTCGTATGAGGAAGTTATGATTTTTCGAAGTTTCAGCTTAGCAGTAGACAGCTAAAAACTCGAATTTTAGATCGAGTGATTTTTAGCCGACAAGACCTAAACGAGAATCGAAGGTCTCGTCATTAGTAGCACAACGGTAAAAAGTCTAACGAAAACGGACGTCGGATGAAGAAGTTATGAATTTTTAACGGATTTTCTGTCCCGGTCTGTTAAAAATAATAATATAAAAATTAAAGTCAAAAATTAGCCAACGAAGTCTAAACGAAAGTTGTAGAGCGTAATTTTACCTACGTGTGCATATAAAGAACGTCAAAAACGGAGCTCGTATGCGAAAGTTATGAATTTTAGAAGTTTTTGCACAAAAACCGAGAAAATTCGCATAGTCACGATTTGCCACGTCACCCTCGCTTAGAACGTGCCACGTGTTCGAAATGGTGAGTCAGGCGAGCCACGTGTCCGAGCTGCTGAGTCATCCGAGCACCTGGCCTTATCCGAAGTGGTCCAGTAGCGATGCGACACGTACCTTCTTGCACGAGACCGAACTCTCGCATGAGTGCCACGATGCCTCTACTTCGGACCAGTAGGCCTCGGTCCAATCAGGAGAGGACAGCAAGCCTTCGCACGCGCAGACCTCGTGCGAGCCATCCCCCTGCGAGCTTCGGATCTGCGACGCGTGCTTCCTTCTCAGCCGTCGGATCAGGACTTCGGACCCCTATAAATAGAAGGGTCCTGCGAGCCTTCTCGGGTACTTTTGGGATTTCACCATCTTTCACCCTTTTCTTCATATTTTCTTCATCTTAACATCCCCCAAAGCCCCGGTATCGATTATAAGCCCCGAAATACGGCACGAAGTGCCCGTGAAGCCCGAAAATTTTATCTTTTCGGTTTCGAAGCCCGACCCTTGCAGAGCCCGGTTTCTGAATAAAACTCCCGGTTTTATTAGAAACGAACGTTTTAGGAAACGAATTGCTGCCCGATTTTCATCAAAACAAGTGAGTGTATATTCACTTTCATTTTACACATAGATATGAAGTATTTACCTTATAATACGTGCTATGTGCAAATATATTAATTGTTTATTTGAGGTGACTGTTGAGTTGATGTTTTATACAAGTTTTAAACTGTATAAGTATTTTTATCTACAAATATGTTGGGTAGAACATGGGTAGATAGTGATGTGTGATAAAATAAAAGTAATGAGAGACCTCGATGTGATTTGTGATTCAGTCATCTAGCGGAGTTTGGATGACGACCACAGACCTTCTAGACAGTCCAGTGGGAAACCTTAGCAGGTCCGCAACCTGTAGGTGTTAATGAACTAAAGTGTTCATTCGCTGTACTCCATCCCCCTCATGGTTGCCTTTAGGACATGTATGGCTGAGGAAACCCCTTAGCAGTAGTGTCCATCCCGATGATATTCTTTAGGCTAGGTCCCTTGTGAAAAGTGTTTAGGGACGTAAAGTGAGGATAACGGGAACGGGTAATCAGCGTTATTGTTGATTGGTGAACTTAATAAGTTTATTATTAATGTGGGTTGAAAACCCTATATGCTCACCAGGCTCCCAAGCGTGACCCACTCAGTTTTTTTATGGTTACAGGTAGTGGACCCCGAGCATAGTCGGAGGACGATGAGAGATTTTTGGATTATAGGCCAGTAGTTGTAAATAACTGTTGAAAGGCTTATAATGTCCTGTTTATGCTTTTGATCTGTATCGGAACATGACATCCCGAGGTTTTGATATGAAATGAAATTATATATTTCTTAAAGAAAGGTTTTGACAAACTTTTTTTTTATATTTTGTATTGGGGACCAATTCCGCAACATCTTTTAAAAAGATTTCTCTGATTTTATTTTAAAAAGCATAAATTAAATCGGTCTTTTCTGGCCGAGAAATTAGGGGATGTCACAGTTGGTATCAGAGCATTAGTTTAAGCGAACTAAGAAATTGTAGGATTTCTAGACTTAAACTTAGAATGCTAAGTGATGATTGTGAGATGAGTGTCTACCATATTTTAGACACGAGCACTAGTTTATTTTAGGAAAGATGCCTAAAATGCCCTTATGTGCTAAATGCTATGTGTTTGCCATATATGCCATTATTTGTTCGGATCTATGGTCTGTTGCCGACCGGATCTGGAAACCTTATGTGTGTAGGATTCTAACCGTACGATTACGAGATTAGAACTAACATATAAACGTTTCGGAGTGATAATGGAATTGAAATGTCTAACAAGGATAAAGACCTAAATTCGCCTTATTCGTTATATAGATTGTAATGGCAAGAACTCGTAGTGGAGTTGCAAATGCAAACGGAAACAGGGATCAACAACCTCAACCTCAAGTAGTTGAGCAAGTACCTGTTGTAGGAGCTGCACCTGAGCCAATGACGATGGCTGGGGTACAAGCAATGATGCAGATGATGTTAGATCGCCAGATGGAGGAGACAAGGCGATTACTACAACAGCATAGGGAAGAGACTACGATACCTGTTGAACAGCCCGTAGTGAATGAAGGGCAATCAGTAGGAGGGAACTACAGTGGAACTCTTGGTCAAGCCAACCCACCGATAGTTAGACAAAACAACCAGGATGGAGGAGTTGATGGACGCGGATGCAAATATAAAGATTTC